ATGGGTTTTTGTGGCTGGTGGTTGGAAGGGAGCTAAAGGACCTGGACAACATCCGCCTTTGCCTTTAAAGAGGGCGCCTTTCGGAGCTACCAGAAGTTCTCTCAGACGGCGATTTTGGCTCACCGTTTTTCTGCACCTTGGTGGTTTTTCCGAAATCATGGGTTGAATCACCCCACACCCCGCAAACTTCAGCTCCTCCAAGCGCTTGTTCGGCAGCTCCTCCAGCAGCGCCAGCACCTGGCCACTCAAAACTCAGACAAGGATCTCTGGAAGCTTTCAAAGCTATGCTTACCGCAAGGCGATGTTCAGTGATTCAGTGGGTATAAATAGAAGGCCAAACAACTAGTATGAGCAGAACATGTGAAGGCGTGAAACAGAAAGGATCATAGCGAAGTATCGCAAGTAGGAGTTCGCACACGGTTCCTCCCATTTGATCCTGGCGGTAGAGACTTGGTCCGTGGAAAAGGAAAATCGATGAGGCTCGAAGCAACCCCAGTTTGGGTTCCATACCTAGAGGAACCCACAAAAAGAGCCTCAGTGATTGAAAGGTTGCCAACATGCGACCGTTTCGCGGGAGACGGAAAGGCACCTTTGTGCAGTGTGGGGGGAAGTGTGTCCGAATTTGGCCTACGTGGGTTTGCACGGGTTCGCGCGGGTTTGTGCGCACACGGGTTTGCGCGGGTTCGCGCGGGTTCGCGAGGGTTTGGTTTGCGTGGGTTTGCGCGGGTTTGCGTGGGCTTGCGCAGGTTTTGTGGCAGGCGCAGCACTTTCGCAAGGTCAGGTCCTAATTTCATGGCAGGCGCAGCACTCTCGCAAGGTCAGGTACAGATTTCGTGGCAAGCGCGGCACTTTCGGAAGGTCAGGTGCAAATTTCGTGGCAGGCGCAACGGCGCAACACTTTCGCAAGATCAGGTACAGATTTCATGGACTGTTTAAGGGCCCTCTATTATGTAAAGTTTTTTTGCCGGAAACAACACTAAGAAAATAAGGGCAAACAAACTTGGCAGACAAGTCGGGCAAACAAATCCTGGCAAACATTGGGAAATCCTTTTTCTTGAAGTGGTCCCCAAACAATCAAATTTCAGATGACTTCTTTACAAAAAGTGCGGGCAAACAGCCACACAAAGGGGGGGTGCCCACAAGAGCCCCAGATCCTCTTGAATGCGACAATTTTTGGGCCCTCTTTACTTTTCAGCTGGTTTCGGGGCTGAAAATTGAAAACCAAAGCCTTTTAAAGAAGGGGACTCATCCTAAGCTCTCCCGAGCTCAAAGGTTAAAGGCCTGATATCTAGGAAATCGATTTTGCAAGTTGTTCCCAAACCATCAAATTGAAGTTTTTACACAAAAGTGCGGGCAAACAGTCACACAAAGGGGGGTGCTGACAAGAGGCCCAGATCCTCTTTAATGCGACTGTTTTGGGGTCATCTTTAGTGCCCAACTGATTTTGGGGGTTGCTGAAAAGCGATCCTTGGCAATACTAAAGTAGAATTGGCAATACTTAAAGTAAGCACTAAGAATCTGAAAGGGGACCTTGGCAATGCTAGAGTCGAACCAAAGTATGTACTGTCCCTCCAACTGGTCCACTGTTCAGGGGGGGGATCCGTGTAAAGAGGGTCCAACATTACAGATTTTGTGGCCGGCGCAGCACTTTCCCAAGGTCAGGTACAGTTTCGTGGCAGGCGCAGCACTTTCACAAGGTCAGGTGCAGATTTCGTGGCATGCGCGGGTTGGCGTGGGTTCGGCGGATTTGCGCGGGTTTGCACGGGTTTCGCGGCAGGCGCAGCACTTTGGCAAGGCCAGGTCCGTCTGACGATGCCAACCGGCGCGAACCGGCGCGAACCGGTGCGAACCGGTGCGAACCGGTGCGAACCGGTGCGAACCGGTGCGCATCGAATTGCGGACGCGTCTACCACCGCAATGCCTTTGTGTGATTCTAAAGCGGTTGATGCCTATCCAACAATGCGTTATGCTAGCTTCAAAAAGAGGATTCCCTTGGGCACTCACAGAAACTGGCCTAAAACACAATCTTCCACAGCCACGAAGAGACCCCTATTTTCTAGAAGATAATGCTTGGATGTGTAACCCACTTAACCTGCGTCAGTTCATTGCGGACAACCAATGCTTTCGCACTCTTGCAATCCGACCCCTGCTACCGCCGGCTGGCGTCCCGTTGGTGACCTGCAATGATTCGCCTCTGACGGATGTACCGCCGTGTAGTAGACCCCATTTGAGAAAGCTTGAGCGCAAGGCGGCCCATGCAACGCGCTACAAATTGAGCTAGACAATAACTTTCGACTCGGTCTTTTCCTCTTGCGCCCTACCAAGTTTGATGGCCATCGGGAACTCTGAACCGCTGCTGCACAAAGGCATTCTTCCTTGACCTGGAATGGTTTCACTTCTTTCTCTCCCCTGGGGTGGGGGTCTTTTGTTCGGGACGGAGCGGCTTTGTACAGCCGCGGCTTCATCCAACATTGTAGGAGCACCTTGTCTGATTATGTCGGGACACGACGGACGTGGCAAAGAACGTGAAAGTGAAAGCAAGAGAAAAGGACCTATTTCGAAGTTGTCACAATTGGCAAAAAACCCAAGTGGCTTGCATATCAGGGGCAAATGAAATCCCAAAACAATCCGGAATGGATGCTAGCTAGGTGTTCCATCAGGGTCATTTGGAGATTCCATAGCCACGGCTTCCCTTGAGGAAAAAGCATTGGGGTGCATAGGTGTGGCCTACCATCTACCATGGACCCTTAGGGCAAACAGGGTGACTTTGTTCCCTCTTGGGGTTGGCTCTCCCGTGAATAAATGCGACGTGGGCTGACCGCCGTTGGGCTTCTTTGTTCTACTCTTGGTTCAGAAGGTATTACAATGTGAGCTCCAGAAATCTGCATTTGGGTTTGTGTCAAACAACTAGGAAGCCCAACAATGGGTGGCTCCCTTTTGTCATCCTTCAAAACCACCTCAAAGAGGGTAGAGCAGGGTAGACACAATTCATAGAGTTCAATCCACGGCTTAGACTGCTACGTGCATCAAATCACATCCTTAGCCTGACCTCCTTTAAGTCATTCAAGTATTTCACTGCTTCAAGTCATTCATGTCCTTTCAATCTTAGACTTTTGAAACTGTTCGAGTCCTATACCTCCGTCAAATCCTTTGAGTCGCTTTGAGTCTAAGTCCGTGACAATGAAGTGTCTCCGTCAAATGCTTTGGGTGTTAAACAGCCGATGCTTGGTTCACATCATTTAAGATTCATGCCCACCCACAACTTGTGAGAACTACTTTTTCGTAGCAACTCAGTACAAATGGGCTAGACATCCACCCACAAGGGCTACGTGATGGACCCCTTCCCCACCAACCCTTTTCAGGCAAATGGTCCACAACAGGACCCCCCGAAACGTCGAACGGTTCCATCGTACTGTGCAAATCTTACAATATGTCCAAAACCCGAAACAAGGGGATGTCCCCAAGTGAAGAATCTTTACCGCGGTGAGCTCGTTTTACTCCAGTCGCCATTAACAAAGGCACAATCTGAATTGGTTGGGGGGGGGTGGGTGGGTAACTCATCTGCCCAGACCTTCCCACTCGCACCAGTTTCTCTGGCGCCTGCTGCCAGTGGTTTCCAGCCGCCCAGGCGCGGCACAGCGCGCCAAAGCCCGGCAGGCTGGGCGGAAAGCTGCGGAGCTCCTGAGAACTTCGGAATGCCCAACTAGGTCCTCTAATAGAGAGGTCAGAATAAGGGTACTCTTTTTTTCTTTTCTTTCGGTAGTCTATTTTAGCCCTTTTTATAAAAAGGGGTAAAAGGGCACTCATGGTCCTGGGCGATGATGCTTGCATTAATCCAGCCTCAATTGACTCTAAACTTGGGTAGTTTTCTTTTGGCTTCCCTTGCAATCAACTCCAAACAGGTTTCCCTCGCACAAAGCCACACCCATCTCTAAACCAAACATATTGGATCCCCGTGTAGAGGCCCTTCATGGTGAGCTACCAGGCGAGCTCGCCATAGGCAGAATCATTTCCTTCACCCCCCCGACCCCCCCATTATTGTTCGAACAATAATCCCTCCAAACAACAATCCCCGCCCTCCCCCGCATTTGTTCAATCAACTTCCCCCAAACTAGCGGGCGGGTCTGCCCCCCCCCCCCTGTCTCCTGCAGCACCTCCAGCGACCTTTGCCAATGGCCCAGGCCGCCCGCTCCCACCAGTGCTGGACCATTGGGCGCCAGACCCTCCGATTCCGGCTCGATCGAGGGGCCCGGCTCGAGCGCTTGGCATCTCAACATGGGAACCCAACAAACACACCAAAGCGGTTATTGGGTATTTTATGGGTCTCTCAAAATGGTCTTTGCATGGCAGCGGTTTGCCTTTTAGTTTCTTGTCTAACCAAGAAGGGACCGTTTGAGAAACACTCATATTCCCATTAGAACATCACTCAAAAGAGCACTCGCACGAACCAAGTTTTCTGCAGGGTTTTGTATATTTCGTATTCTGTTGGTCTTAAACTCACATTTTGGACCAATTTAAAGTTTGTTTCTTGTTGGCGGGGTGATGTTTGAAGGGGACATATGGGGCTGGACAGGACTGTTCTGTCAGGAGAATGGGGCGAATTTGCAATGCCAGACATGGTTTGCATCGATCGTAAAAATCAGACGGCGCAGTTTCCTTCATGTGGTGGGTCGCCTTCACCCAACCAGGGACAAGTGAGGCCAAGTGAGCGTCCACTTCACCCTGCCTTGTGTAGGATTATGCCTATACCGCTGGTACGGAAGGTTGGTCGACCTTGTCGATGGCTTCCACACCCAAACCACAGGGGGGGTTCATAAGATACACAGCCAGAAACAATACTATACAAGGGATATGCATCCCAATTTCGCAGGGGTCGGTGGACATCATCTCAGACCAACAAGTTTTCCACGCTGGATGTATACGGTTATGTCCATTAAGCCCCAAATAAAACTCCTTGTTTCCTAAAGATAACATTTGGGGCGAGCCTGCTGACATGTCCCCGCATGTCGAGTCCTCACCAAACCAACAGGCACTACCAATGTTGTCAGTGATTCATGCGTCCACATGGCTGGCTCCCTGTTTCCCCCAAGCATCTCTGGTGCTTTGGCTCTCGTTTGTTTTGAGGGATACCCTTGTGGAGGTTGCTTCACAGAGACGCCACAAGGAAACCCGCCACCTTTCGAGGCCCCCTTGGTATACCTGCCCATATATCTGGATGAATTGTACTGATTCACTTGTCCAAGATCAGGATTCCCAATCCAAAGCATCTTCGTAACGTAATACCGCTCGAGTCGTTGCAAAGGGTCTTCATTGCCATGGCTCGCTGCTCCAGGTGCATTGTTTCGACAGCGATGCTGAGCGTTCTTCCAGGATAACAGGGCTCACTGGATGTCCCCACAAAGATGACTGCCCCCTTGAAACCTTGGTGCTTACTGGTCCGAGGACCCAACGGCACTACCCCCTTCCACTAAACACAACATAAACCCCTCCAACGGCCATTGGTTCATGAGCGTAAGCATTCAGATTTTGACAATTTCACTTGCTTTTTCCCTTCAACAGGTCCCTTTTACGTGGCTGCCTGTGTTTCAAATGTGGGGGATGGCGCGCTGCCCTTGTGCCGGGGACCCCAAATAAGGGGACTTGTTGACATGACAGGGTTTCCCCAAATCCAGCAAAGGCAGGCTTAGAAGAGCTAGCAACATGGAAACAAACATGTTTTTTTGGGGGGACCCCCAAATTGGCCGGTTTGCATTTTGGTTTCCCTTTAGACCCACAGCAACAAAAACATGCTTCAACACCTTTTGAGAAGGAAACCAACATCAAGTGGAGGCAAGACTTGAAACAGGCAAACCATGACTCGATATTGCTCGAAGCGTGGTCACAAATTTAGTGGGGATTCATGTTTGGGTTCGTCCTTTTTTAGGGGAACCCCGCTTCTTGGCGGGTTTCCCTTCTAGCTTTTCTTTACAAAACAACCCGAAAAGGGGTACCAACTCCAAAAACATCGCACCTACTTTCAAACTGTTCAGGGTTGCCCCACCTTTAGTGAACCTTCAGTTGTAGAATTGCTTGAACACGAAAGCCGGCAACATGGCTGCTTCTTCGCCTCGCTTTTTGATTGGATTGGCCAGAACAACGGCTAATGCGATTTTAAACTGTCATGCAGGCCTTGTAATATGTCAAATGCCTGAGTTGGTGGTTTGGATTGGCTTGGGAGGTGGTTTCGGGGGTTGGAAAAATGCATATTTACTCCTTGCAACTCAGAAGCCCCCAAAGGAGATTGCTCTAAAATGTTAGGCCTTTGGAGTTACCACGTTTCAGGAGTGTATATGGGTGTATACCCGTTCAAGGCTTGTATGAACAATGATCAACTTTCCCTCACGCTCTTTGTGAAGGGGTTGCCCTTTTCACCCCAACCGGCACCGCGAGGCAAACACCGGTTTCACCATTCCGCCTCGCTGCGCATCTGCGCCAGGAGCCAGCATCCGCGGCGCCAGGACCTTGCAAAGCAGTTCAGGCGCAAAACCCGGCTCCAGGCCTCAAAGATACTCAGCCTCCAAATCTCCAGGCCTCCGCGCTTCTAAGTGAAGCTTCAAGACGCCACGCCTCTAAGCTATATTTGAGCCTCTACGTCTGCTGTAAGCTTCTGAGCCTCTAAGCCTCTTTACGCCCTCTCAGCCTCTAAGCCTCCTTTAAAGGCTGTGGCTCCTAGAAGCTTAGACACTTAGAGGCCTTAGAGGCTTAGGCGCTCGGAAAACAGGTGTGCAGCAGGTTTCGGGAAGGCTTTTTCTGCCAATGCTATGCGATGTGTGTATGTGTGTGTGTGCATGTTTGTGTGTGTTTGTGCAGAGTGTGTGTGTGTGCGGAGTGACAGAATGCCCTGTCACCACCTTTTCGGTTTCTCAGCAGGGGGCGCGGGCAGCATTGAAGGGACCTGCGCCAATGAAGACGCCCTTCTTTGCTGGTGAAATCCAACGGGACGCCGTTGGACGTACCTGCCGTTGTGATGTTTGTGAATGTCCTTTTGGTCCCCTCCCTGAACCGCCGTTGCTTCTGTGTGTCCCCCTTTTAAAGTAACTACAGGGAAGCCACGTGTTGTGCGAGTCGAACCTCACCATACTCGAGACTCATCAGTTGTACTCGAGACTCATCAGTTGTACTCGAAAGATTAGCACTCTCCTTTTGGAGTTTAAGTGTGTACACCCCATTCGTGGGGAATATTCGGGTGTACCCATTGTGTGACCCCGGGCCGGCTCTGTCGGAAAATTTGACCTCAACGTGCTTATCATAGAACAGCGGAATTTCACATTTAACCAGGAACGAGGTTTCACTAAAGGGAAGACAGCGGTCAGATCATAGAGACGTCTCACCACTGATGTTTGCGATTGCTTGCCATTTGTTGGATTCGCTGATACCTTGCCGTTGCATGGATTTGCATGTTGTCTGATACGTGTCTCTCAAGGTGGAAGCGTGAAGATTAAGAGTCGATTGTGCAACCATGTCTCGACGTGATGATCGTGATAGATCCAGGACTCGGCGCAGACGTGATCGGAGTACTTCTCCTCAAGCTCGTAAAGCACACCGACGTGAACACAATGATCACCACGTCTCGGAAGGCATGGGTTGGAACAACCTGGTATCTTGGCAACACAATTCCGGCTACAACTCTGCCAACAATTTCCCGATGATGCCCACCAATTTTCAATCGACTCATAGTCCCACACAGCAATTCCAACATCCAGCGATCAACTACATGATGCCGATCCCTCCAGACCCCACGCCAACGAAGTTCATGCCACCCGTGATGCCACCACCGGTCACTACCCAGCAACCTACACCGCCACCGGGACCTTCTGCGGCTCTACCGGTTCGTCCTCATAAAGCCTGGCTTACACCATCGCCTGACTGGACACCTGGAGATGGCATGTTTGATGTCAATCAGCTCTACAACTTCAGCCTACCCATGACCGTTGCCAACACTCCGCATGGCAACCAGCGCGACATGTCAGGCATGGATATTCGAGACGTTCGCCTGGTTCAGGTTATTCATGGGGGACTCACCAACTGGCTGCTCCGACCGTTCGCTCACGGCAGATTCGTGACGTGGGAAGGCTTTCGCACTCGCACCGAGGCCTTGCTTTGGAGTACCTGTTCCAAACTACTACGACGATCACAGTCGATCAACCTGCTCACCCTGGAAAAGGACCTTGCCAACTTGCTGGGTCTCAACATCGATGACTTCAATCAGCGGATCAAGGTTCATGACCATTTGGCCAGCTTGGTACTTCAATTTCTTCAGCAACACCACGCTTCTCTCACACCTTCCACCCAGACAGATGACATGGTCAAGAAGTACAATGATCTAAATCGTGCGCATGAGCTGCTCCAGGCTCAGTTTTCAGCATCGCTGCGCGCTTCGACCTCCCCCACGATGGCAAGCCAGAAAGATGATGCAGAGTTGGTTACACCGCCACCGGTCAACCACACACAATCCTCGTCACCTGCCAGCTCCCTCCCTACGGCCAGCGCAGCGGCCCTTGATGGCAAGTCGTTTGATAGCGCGGTGCAACCCCGGATCATTCAGTCTCTTCACGGAGTGTCTTCACCACCGTCCAAGCCGGCAGCGTCACAATTGCTCACCATGCACAGCACGCCGGAAGAAGTTGTCAAGTACTAGTGACCAGCCACGCCTTTATCTCAAGCAATCGCCCACAACCACAACTTTGACGTCACTGGTCAAGTGGGCCAATCACCCGTCCCGGCTCAACGGCAACAAGTCATTAGATTCCATGGCGACGCAGCTCCTTCAGGCGCGTCAACGCATGCCGTTCGGCGACGCACCTACTCTCGGGGCGATGGCGGCTTCGTGGGGACTGGAGCCCGGCTATCTCACCAAGCTCACTGAGAAGGCATTGAGTCACCTCATCGTGACCGCTCGCTTACTCTGCGGATGAGCAGGCATCTTAACGACCTTCGTTCTCCTATGAGCCCGGAGCGGCAACCGTGTCACGGATGAGTCAAGGTTAAAACTCGTCCGTCATCTTTTTGCGTTGCATCAGTTTGATCTTGTGTTGGTTGTGCTTGCATTGCCTTGTGCGTGATTGTCTGTGCAGCTTGTATCCATGTCGCCGCCTTATGGTAGATTTCATTGGTTGCATTTTCACCATGTTGGCTGAGCTTCGCCGCTGTGGAATCTATGATGATGTTGCACAATGGCAGTCTCTGGACAACTTTTTACATTCGTTGACCATGTTCTCTACGTGCTGGCAATACTGCTTCCCTGGACTACCACCACCGTCGATACCAGCTGATGAGTACGAATCAATCACACAACTACCGTGGTTGGGCCTCATTCTGGAAGTCTTAGTTGTGGTCCGGATTGCCCTTCAGATTCCGAATCACGCTATGTCACACTCTCAACACACTGTGGCCAACAGGTATGAGCTTCATAGATGTCGGTGCACTGCCTATTTATTGATCAGTTTCTTGCAACGTCTCATTTCCCAAGATCATGGCTACTTTCCACCGTTCTTTGAAGTCCTTCACTTCTACAAGGCTCCTGTGTGAAATTATGCACTCCGCTTTTGCCGACACGCGACATCTTCGCTCATTGCGGGCACGGTTTCCGGACCTCTATGACTTCATTCACGATCCAGGTCATCATCAACAACCGTGCGTCTACATCCGACTTTCCCCATGGCACACACCTTACTACGTTGGTGCGACTGATCAGGATGTTCTACGACGTGAACACTCACGCAGTCGCAAATTTCTACAACTACTTCGGGGACGTCATGCCTTCTTTGAACCCGCGCTTCACTACTGGAAGCGATCCAATACTTACTGGCTCTTCTGTGCTGTTCCGGTTGAGATCAAACTTCCCGTTTCCTCGGTTTGGGTCCAGGAAAGCAAGTGGCAATACCTGCTACGCCCGCATTTGAATGCACCCTGGGTACACAGACTTCTACGAAAGGTGGGCTTCCGGGAACATCTCGTTGACTTTCGACGTCATTCGTTGTCGTCTCCCACTTCCCTCGGTTTGCACAAACGCTTTCGACGACGACTACATCCGGATCTCCAACGGCAACTTCGTCCCGACATGCTGGATGACATTCAGGCCCATTACTCTATTCTCTATCAGCTGGGATCCAATACAGGTGCATCGTTCCAAGCCATGCGTGACCTTCTGTCGGCAGCTTTCCCTCCTACTCAGCTTTACTACTTTCTGCGGCTCTCCGTCTTTGTCAACGAGCCCTTCCGTTCCAAGGCACAGAAACTCCTCGCCCAGGTGTTACGCAAAAGACAGCTACAATCACCCACCACTTTGACACAACTACTCCTACCGCCTCTACATGTCCGGAATTGGAAAGCTCATCTTGGCACATGGTTACAAAGCTGGATTGCTTCTCATCGTGATCTGTTTCCCTCCCTTTTCCTTCCAAAGATCCGGGTGGTGGAAACTCGCAGTGCCACGTTGGGCGACAAGATCTACAACTACCGCACATGGCAGCGCAGATGGACTCCTGAAACATCTTTTCCGTGTCGCTGTTTGGACATCGATGATCACCATATACACCGAGCACATGGACATGCTGTAATGGTTGATGAGTTCTCACGCATCAATGCGGACATTGGCATGGAAATCATGGCCGCGTCAATGAAGGATCAATATTTCAGTGATGTCGACTTGTTACATCAACGTTTCACTACGCAACTTCGCAAACTTGCTCGTCGCTGGCATGTGCATGGTTCCAGTCTTCTTGTTGATCTGCAGCCGGTCTTGACTCAATTGATGGACACTCATCGATCTAACCTTCAAGATCGTGCTTATTGGTCATCGACATTCGACATCATTGCAGCGCACCGTGGCTTCTTTGTCATCGTGGGTTGTAATTCCAGCGGATCATTTCCCCTCTCGCGCACATGTGATTTGTCCGTCCCTGTTTGCCATACTGATGCGGAAGACCTTTTGCTCGGGAGATGTCTTTTCCCTATGTCGTGAATTCGCAGCATCTTTTCGCTCTGAAGTGGTGACTACGGTACCTTCCCTCCTACGTCAGCGATATGCATGGGGACTTCGACTTCAAGCACCGTTGCCCACAGCTCGCATCCTTCCAAAGCCGACCAAGGACTGGCAGAAAGCACGACCCATCATTTCATTCTTTCGCACGTGGGCAGCTCCCTTCCTCACGGTCTTCGGCGCCCTCATATTTGAACTTACCAAAGCCACTTTTCCCGACATTGCAGGTCAACTTTCAGTACAAGAACTTGTCCAGCAGCTGTGGGAGTCGCTGTCAAAGGCTGATCCCGATGAATACATCCACCTGGTATCTCAAGACCTGTCAGGCTTCTTCACGTCCATTCCTACGGAGCGCTTCCACCAGGCACTACAGGTGCTTCTCCATCGGTACGATCAAGTTGTTGGCCTTCGCAGATCCTCTCAATGGTCAGTGTTCGAAGTAAAGTCTGATCATCGACGCCGTATGTTCAAAGGAAAATG